ATATATATATATATATATATAAAACAAAGCATCATAAATTTATAATTGTAAAATTACGTTATAAAATATTGAACTCACAATAATGAATGAAGATTGTTTGTAATCTCGAAATTATTTCTCAATCTCGAAATGACCTTTTCTTTCTAACAGGAAGAACTATTACGACGACGTGATCGATTATCTTAATTCGAAGCAGAAAGGTATACATCGCGAGCTGCCCAGGGCTCAGGAATGGGCAGAAAGAGCTATAAGGACCTACGATCAAAAGAACATAGACAAGAGCTTCAAGCGATCGAGTGACATGAAGTACATCACTAATATGACATTCACAGGCAGACACTACAGTTATCATACTCGTGCTTATTATAGTCTGAAATACCAGAAGATTCTGTGAATCCGCAGACCGCTGTTAAAAGCAGTCAAAAGGCAACTATTAAAGACAAATGAAATTTCACATATCCGTTCATATATACACAATCTCTCAAGATCTTCATTAATATTCACTTTTTGACGTGTGTCTTTCTAATTGTCTCTATTGTGTTTCTTGTTTGCAACTAGATTAATTTTTATTAGATGTTTTGTATAAACTAGTGAGATAAATAATATTGTAATTCAAATGTGATTGGCAGTATTGATAAAATCAGCACTGCAACGTCTGATTATTGCAGCTGAAATGATATATGTTTGTATACTTACTTGGCGTACCATTAAAAATTAGCATTATATAGTTTTATTTTTAAATATCATTTTAATAGTTCAAAAACTTTTCGAATGGATATTTTCATGACATGTGTTTTCTTTTTTAGAGATTTTATTAAATAATTAATAATTTAATTTAATTTTTAATTTAATTTTTTTATTTGTAAAGAAGTATTTGAGGAAAAAAGAAAAGGATTAATTTATTTAATACTTAATATTTATTATAAATACGCGTAAACTATTTCTCTATTAAAATACATATGTGAGAATCTGTTTGCAAAGAATATCGTATCATTACATATTTCAAGAAATAAAAGAAGAATAATAATTAAAAAGATAAACGAACAAAATTAACAATTATATATTAATAATTATAAGCAAAATGTTATAAGAACTTAATTATTAAAAATTTTTCGGAATTTCGGAGATGCTTTACGATAACGTTGATGAAAAGTCGAATATTTTAGATCTAAATTTATTAGATCTAGATTTATTAAAAAATATATTAAAGACATATTTTTTTATTAATCTGAAATAGATTTGTCCTGTAAAAAAATATGAGTACTTTTCAATGAAAAATCGATTAAAAATGAAGAAGGATATTTTCAACTAATTCTAAAAAATGTGATCGATAAAGTAAAAGTATATTTTTCGTTCTAGTTTTCAAATAATTTAGATTTGAAAAGACAAAATTTTAATTCAATCATTAATTACACAGGTAATCTAATAGTCTAGAAAGAAAAAAATTCTCTAAATTAAAAAATCTTGAAATATATTAATAGATTTTCACACACCGTAATAGCATTGGCCAGACAGATAAGCTTTTTCGAACCTTAAAACGAGACGCTTTTCTTTCTCTGCAAAAATCTTCGCTTCATCGGTTGCATCGCGAGAACCTCTCGTGGATCATCAATTTCGTTTGTATCAATTAATGAGTTGATCCTGTATTGTCTTCCTGCCGGGACGGGGGGCTGAATAGTTTCCGGCTCATCGACCGGCATCTTGGGCAATTTCAACAGGAAGGTCTTGGGCTTCTCCAGCTCAACATTTGCGATCTTGCGCGTTCTATCGAGTTTCTGCGACAATGACATCGTTTGCTCGTCATCGTCCTGGTTGTCGAATTTTGTCGCGTGTCGCTGGAACACGATGTCGGCAGCCTCTAGAGTATTCTTGGCCTTCTCTATTTCAGCGTTCAAATCGATCACATCGAAGATGCGATCCTGCAACAAGTGCCAGATAAAAACATTCATAAGAACAGCTGATATGGAAATTTTATTCGGCTGTTATATGCAAATTATGTGCGAATTATAAAGTGTAATTTGTAATTTATATAATTGATATTATAACTTAAATTATAATAAATTAATCATTTATAATATGTTTTATTAATAGCTTTTTTTTTTAATCGGATTTGATTCTTAATATTCTGCAATTATTGACTCATTCTTTTGTTTAATTTAACCTGCATGTCTCGTCGCTTGCGTCTCAATTCCGCCATATCCTCCTCAAACGCAGCGGCCGCACGTTCTTTGAAACGTCTATGAGTAATCACGAAATCGTCTTCATAAGGATCCTCCTGAATGGGCCGACCACGTCCATCAAGTAAAAAGTCCAACTCGTCATAGAAATCATCACGATTTCCCGACAAGTTACGAGAACCTAAAATATTAGTGCGATTGTGTTAGCTATTATTAATTGTAAGATATTAATATTAATTCAATTTTTTTGTGCAATACAAAATAATAAAAATAAGTAAAAAAATGCGTTTATAATCATTCAAAATTACTCGTATTATATAGTCATTTTTAATAAAAATTGTTTTTAACAACAAATTAGATACATTTAATTAAATCTAAAGCATCGTTATGTTCTTATAAAAATATTATATACTGATAAATATATATAAAAATATTCGTCAGTTTTATGAATCTTATAAAAATTAGATTCTTACCTTCAGAATTTCACTACAGCTAGTGGAATCTTGTGCATGCAGAAAATGAAAGGGAAAAAACATCAAGATACATAAAATGTCAATAAAATAAAAAGTATATAATGAATAAAAAAGGAAATTTGGGGAAACATGTGGTGTATGTGTCACCTGACATGCTCTCAGACAAGAGTTTTTAAATGAGATTTATTCACAAATAAGAAAGAAGAAATATACATTTATGATAAATTCGGAGAATAGTTTTCTGAAAGAAACAATGTTTCGAGACAATGCAAACTCGACAATTAAATTGCGACTTTGCATCTCTTTTATAATATCGCACTGGTAGTATTATAATAAGTTTTACAAAAATAATTTAAATATAACAAGTTTTGCAAGAATAATTTTAAATATTAAAACATAACATATTTATTAGGAACGATTAACATTTAAGCTTCTTCGAATTACATCTGAAGAACGAAGAAACGAAAAATTGTGCGAGAAATATCGTACAAAAGTACGATAAATCTTAAGCAACATAGGTTTTAATCCAGTCATATATCTGTCAAATTTCACGTCGTTAATTTACAAAAAAGACTGAATATAAATAAAATCGTGCTAAAAAAAAATAATCAAGCATATTTTCGAAAGACACGTCTCGCATAATTAAAGTATCGATACATTATAATTATAGAATTATGCGCAATAAATGTACGCGCAATATCATGAGCATGAACTTTGATATTAGATTCTGTCGATAAAATTTATTAACTATTTACAGCTAGTAAAATTTATCGACAATTTACTGTCAATAAAACACTATTTAAAGTCAATGGAATCGTCATATATTCGTTTCACGAATAGATCAACGATGATATAATATCCATATAATCGGCGCGATCGCCGAAAAAATGGCGGTCACAATGCATCGAAAACATATTCTAATATATACTCGTGTATTCAAATAGAACAGTGCCTTACAGCACATCAATTTACAAACATTATGTTACACTATAATTGAAAAGAAATTAAAAGTACAATAAATATAAATTATTACTAATTATTATTATAGTCATTTTTAAAAACATTAAAAGAATATAATTTAAAACTGCAATATAGATCTTATCATAAGCATATTAATAATTTTATTAATTTCAATTTTAAAGAAATGATAAAATTTAAGCCAATAATAAAGCTATATTTAAATAATATGTTTTAAGATAACAATTGACATGTTTAATGATTAAAAGTTGTTTTTCCTGTAATAGCTATGGTCAAAGATTAATAATCTTTTTTTTTCTCTTTGCTACCTAGAATGAATGGTTTCACTGAAGTATCACTGAAATAACCATTCTTTTCATGTAAAGACTTTTCATGTAAACAATTAATAATGGATCTTGTTTGAAATCTTCCCCAAAGTTTTCAGTGTGTAATGCTTAATGGCTGTAAAACACTGTCGTGAGAATTAAGATAGATCGCAAGATTCTCTAGAAGCTGACGTGCTTCTCTGCGCGTTCGGCGATGCGCACTTTCTTGCTGAGAGCCGACTGTTGAACGACGTCGGCATCAGCCGCAGCGGCATTCTCGTTGACCAGCGCCCTGAGGGCTGCGGCCCTACGTTCTCTTTTGGCTTGCCTCTCGGCGAGTTCCTCCATCTCCGACTCGAGATCGTGGAGACGCGCCTTCGTCTGCATGGCCCGACTGGCGGCGGCGCTGGTTTGTGCTAAGTCATCGTCCTCGTTAATCAGTTTGGACCATCTGGCGAAAGCTGGCTTGCTTTCGTCCACACGTTCGATCTCGTCGAAAAGCTTCGAGCGCCTCTTGAAGCTGTTTTCGACGTCTTCGATCGCCGTTTTGGCGCTCTTCCTGGCGGTCACCGTATTCTCCAGGAGATCGGTAGCGTTTCTTCTAGCCTGGCCCGTGGCGTTCATGGCCTCGAAGTCGTCCTCGAGACCCATTGCTGCCACCCGGGCGCGAAACCGACGTGTCGTTGCTGTCACTTCGTTTGCGAAGTCATCGCCCAATCTGCGACGTGCCGATATGCGTTGCCCACGGCTGTCGTAGACGGTATCCTCATCGTCGAAGGCTAGTAGAGGGTCGGTGAAGGGCGGTAGTTGGGAGGCACGGGTACGAGGGTCGAGGTCGAGGTCAAGGTCATGACCAAGGGAGCCAGTGCGGGGACCGGAGAGGTCGCGCGTACCTGCAAAAACCGACATCAGAAAAGAATGTTGATTTGTCCGAATAAGGATAGAATCTGATGAGCGATGATGATGGATATGTCGTCGAGAAACAGCACCGATCGAAGCAATGATCGAAGTCGCATCAACAATATTGGATGAAAGAGGAAGACTGATTGGATGAATTGTGATAACAAGATGGAGAATCTGGCGAGCTCGCATTTCAATTAATTTCATTAATTCTAATTAACTTATTTAA